ATATTGAATAAAATGAAATGAAATCTTTATTAACATTTCCTAATTCTTAAAGATGTTCCTTTTACCCCACCTAGTATCAACCCAATAAATAAGATTGATTTAGGATCCATTTTACACACTCACTTGCAGTAAATTTGTTTGTGGCTAGAACCTGTTGTTCTGGCGACACATTTAGGTCCATATCCTGGCAATTTGGCCTCGATTTCATGCTCTTTGTGGTTTCTCCATCTCCACATTCCTGCTTTTTTGCTCCTTTGCGCATTTCACAGAATTAGTGGCAGGATCTGAGGCTGCGTCCTTCTTGGCAGGCAGAGGATGCATATGTTTATGGGGAGAGCGGAGGGCTTAGATGAATGCGCTCGTTTGTTGCAGTTGCCTGTCATTTTTATAGGTTTGTTTGCCTGCCGGTGTCCATGTGGAGCAGAGACTTATGACCATTATGATTTGTTTTTGCTGTTTTCAATGCACCCAACGCGGAGTACCGAAATCAGTGATTTATAAATCCCAATATTTGTATTTCTAATTCAGAATATTGTTTTCTATTGCTACTAGTATATAGGCTTTTAATTAATACATTAATAAATACATTCTCATCAGTCAATTGCTTCTAGACCAGCTGTGTATTTTTAATAATTTACTGTGTGACGTTGGCTAAAATTAGGGAGGCTATTCAAAAGCAAAGAGAAACACAGAACAATCCCTCTATTAAATTTGTTTTATTATTCTTATTCCATTGGTACAATTTAAAATTTGATTTTGGTATATATGGCTTATCAACAATATATATATCACTTTCAAACAAATGCACCTCTCCGTTCAAAAGTTATTTTTATTCAATCTTTCTTTTCCATTTTTATTATGAACTTTGATTTAATAATAAACAATTTGTTAAAAAATTTCTATTATTAACTCTTATTTTTGATTTAATAAAAAAAATCGAAATTTGTTTTGAATAGATCAACTCTAATTTGCACTTCCGGCATTAAATACAGGAAACTATATATATCTGAGTTAATAACAATTTCTTAAAACTTCAGTTTAAATAACACACCTCAAGTATGATTTTAATTAATTTTTCCCTTGACCCCTCCACGCTTTTCTTAATTATTCTCCATTAATAAAGCCAACTTTCGGAGCGGAATTAATTGAATTAGGCGCCCCGACGAGCCCTTTATTTTTATTTCTGTGTGACCCGCTCTCGTATAATTATAATCCAATAAAATAATAAACATATCGCCTCGTTCATCGTTCAATTTACTTTCACACTTTCACCAGCAGGCGGTGGCGAGAAGTTTTCCTTGTGACACGCCAACTTAACTAAATTAAGCCCCACAATTATTGGATGGCAGTGGGGAAAAGCCATATACACTCTGGCCCCTGGCCCCCGCCATTCGCACTTTTCTCAATTGTTTTTTCGCTATTGCTTTTCGTTATTATATTTTGATAACATGATTTTGTTTACACGACAAATACTCACGTAGCAGTGTTTTACTGTTATTGTTTCTGATACGATGCTCACCTCTTTTCCCTCGACTTTTTCCACTCCACTGGCGCTTTTCTATTAGTCAGAATCTTGGCTTGGCCACGTACGTACACTCCGCCGCCAGTTCCCCGCTTTTCCCTCCGATTTTCAAACACGTAGCCTGGGCCACAAATTTCCCATTAAAAACGCAAAAGGCCAATGCATAAATGATTGATACCAAAACGGGGTGGGAGAACGTTGTTCAAAAGCGCTGGTGGGGGGTCAAATGTGAGCACTTCCGTCGCTCGAAGACTTGAGCAATTCATTCACATACCCATCCATTCATAACTACGAATTATAGTTTATTGTCGTCGTAAAATGCACGGTTCTCTGCCATTTGGCACACCTTTCCTAAGTACTGTTTACAGTCCGCAAAGCCTTCGATTAGCCAAATTGACTAGTTGCGTTCGCTCGCAAGGAACTCAGGCTTTACCAATTCAATTCCCTCCATTATCCAGCTCCTCAATGGACAAGTCTTCCATTCATTAAGAAACTTGAAGCGTCTGCAGCTGTCTCTGCTGGCCAGACATTCGGCTTCCGCTGTGTGCCACATTATTCTTATCCCCACCCACAAGTGGTACAGTCGAAATTGCCTAGAGCCAACTCGGCTTGAGGTGCAAACAATTTAAATATACAATTTGTCTTTATTATTTACCTTACCTTTTCAAAAATAATTAATAACTAGACAGAACGCTACAGCGGAGTGCATCGATTATTAGATACCCTTTACTACGCTAAAGGGAGTGCGAGGGAGATGGAGATATACAATTTTGAACGCGAATAACTTTTAAACGAGTGGTTCGAATTGAAAAATTTCTCTTACATTTCGATAGGTATTAAAAACACAATAAGACTGCATTTTTACTTTTCCGAAATCCTAAAAGGTGTGAGCGCCAGACACCTTTTAAAATCGTTTAAGGCGATTGTGGGCGTGGCCCTCGACTGAAACAAACTTGCGTTGCGTTCGAAGCCTAAGAATATGTGTAATCCCAACTTTCTAGCTTTAATAGTTTCTGAGATCTCTGCGTTCATGAACCTGTTTCTTACAAGCTTTTACATACTTTTGAACGAAAACAATATACCCTTTTAATCTAAGAGTAACGGGTATAACAATTTAAATTTTGACGACATATATGAAATCACTAACCGTTTTCATATTTTCGAGCTGAAATCAGATTTTAGCGTTGTGGGATTTTATGGGCTAGATCGCTTCCTTTTTCATGTTACATACTTTTCCCCGAATTCAGTATACCCTTTTATTTTACGAGTTACGGGTAAAAAAATAAATCTAATTTTTGATAAGCGTATTTGGTTTCAAAGATTACGAAAACCCCAATTTTATTTAAAAATTAAAGTTCAGTGATTAAGTAACAGATACTATCAAATTCTAATTAATTTTGAGGCACTAAAAGTGAATTTATCTTATCGAGTTTCGACAGTACTTGGATTTCGCCTTTGCATTTCAACATACATATATTAATTGATATTGTTTTCGTGTAGCCGAGACAGAGATGGGGTCGGAGACAAAGACAGTGGCGGAGACAGAGAGCTCACATAGCTGTGGGGGATCGTTATGTGAATTTCAATTTGCTAGTGTGGGCTTTCTTACGTTCCGTAGCGTTACGTATGGCCGGTGACGCGTTCCGAGCAACGTGACAACAAACCCATTGAAGGGAGGGTCTAAGCCAACTTTTTTGTGACGCACATTTGGCTGGAATCTGTGCTGGTCCTGGGGTCAGGAGCTGGTTTATGCTGCACCTGCCACAAATCCAATGTTGGGTTTATTTCCATTGCTTCTCCTTCGTCCTTTATTGCGGACCTGATGCACTTGCATCGCTGCGGGAGTTACGTAAAGAAATAATAAATAAAATGGCAGAAGCATGCGAAATGCAGCCTCCGTCCATTCCGCTGTTATTCCGGCCAAGAAAGTTTCCTTCAGCTTAAACTACAACATGTAGTTACTTTAGTGTTACTTTTGTGGCCTTTTAAATGCCGCATTCGGGACGAAAGTCACAAAAGTGGAATCAAATCTGCGGACTCACTTGGCAATCAACCTCTGTTTACTTTTATGCTCCTTTGAAAGCAAATAATTAAAAGCGGAGGGGTTTCTGATAGTTAAGGGAAATCTCTAAAACTGAGGACCAACTGAAAATAGTAAGGCATTCAACTTTTCGTTGCCATAAGTTCAGCATAATTTTTCTTAAAGTCCAGATAGCTGCAAAATAAAACTGATTTGTGCATTTATATGCACCGCACATAGCTACTTTTCAGCACCTAAACACGATGTGGATGGGCCATTCATCATTTGAAATAAATCCCAACTAATCGCCACACATCACGTTGCCTCTATAAGAATGCCAATACCAATCTAGCCACAACTTTTGGCTAACGATTCTTTTCATGAAATTTGCAAATCGTTTGGCCATTCAAAAGTTTGTATTCCACTCTTTTTTTTCCGCACATTTTTTTAAGCGACTGACAATAAGAAGTGAGGCAAAAATCGAAAAGTTCCGTGGCGGGAGGAGGAAAAACGTGGTGCGAGAGTGACAATTTTCTCATATGTGGGGAAAACGAAAGAGAAAATTTAATTTGCAGGTCACGTAATTTGCTGGTGTATGTGTCAAGTTTGCTCTGCGTGCCAGTGTGTGCGTTAGTTAATAAATATGCGCGCACGCGATGTAAAAATATGTAAATCCAGAGGCAACACACATATGGCCACTGAATCGAGTCGATATTCGAGTTGGGTTCTATTTGTTTTCTGTTTTCGCACTTTACAGTTATGACCCAGTATACATATGTACAAACTTTGGGTCTGTACGAAATTCCCTAGGGAATTCTGCCACTCAACGGGGAAAATATAAGTCGAAATTAAGTAATCCCGAAAATAAACCTTAAAGCGTGATTGGCCTGGGTAAATAAATAAAGGCTTTTAACATTATATCACTTGAAGAACTAACTAGGCAAAAAATGTATTTATAATAAAAACATTCTTAAAGCTAAAAGGCAGTTACTAAAATAGATAGATTTTCAAATATACTTAAACGCCCTTCCTTTAAAAGCCGAGTGGCCCTAGAAGGCAGCATTACGATTTCGGCCAGGAGATATGGAAATGGCTTACATCCCTGCCAAGCTTTCTTCCTTCGAGCACTTCTCCATCAACGTTTCCTTGCACTTTTTTCTGTGGCACACTTTTTGGGTTATTAATGTTAAAGTTTTTGTTGCTGTTTATGTTTTGTTGTTGCCGCCCGCCGTCCTATCTGGCGTTGCTTTTATCATTAACTTTATGCAAAAAGTTTTGGTCCTGGTCCTTTTTTCGGGACGGCTTTTTCTGCTGCTGATGCTGGCAGGCAGCATCATTTGCAAAACGACAAATAGTTTGGCTCACCGAACTGGCCATATGGCAGACGGGGCGGCCATTGTTGCGATACCCGTTCCTTTGGCACACTTCCCTAATGTATCTATCCATCTCTCCTTGCAGTACAATTACCTCATGCAGTTTGATTACCTGCCCAAGTCGAACCTGGAATCGGGTAATCTGCTCTCCGACCAGAAGCTGACAGATGCAATCCGGAGTCTCCAGGTAAGAGACATTCCCCCTTTGCCACCATTCACCCCTCGCATCTATTATGCACAATTTCACAACTAACATTACCGTCTGCAGTCTTTTGGCAACATTCCAGTTACGGGCCAAATCGACTCGGCAACGGCCCGGCTATTAAAGCAACCTCGATGCGGCGTGGGCGACCAGAAGTCCGCCAATAGCTTCTCGCCAGATAATCTGTATCACGACAGTGGCTACGGAGTTCGGGTGCGGCGATATGTTCTTCAGGGACCCAAATGGTCGAGGACGGATCTTACGTGGAGGTAAGTCGCTTTCGAAGCGTGTATAATTTCTTCGCCACAAAATATGATATGAGTAGTTTATGTATGTTTAAGTTACGATCGTCACTAGCTTTTACACTCGTGAAGGGGTATTTTTGGTTAATTAAAAGTTTTCAAAATGACACTCAAACTTAATAAAGGTCCCCAAAAAAAAATTAAACAAATTTTGCTTATATTAGTTTAGCGGCTAAGGTGTTCTGATCAGTTATCTTTTTAGTAATGTTCCTCTTTTACGGCCCATCAAAAGGCATACATAATGCTCTGCTCATTCTCTGCCGCCACACGAACAGTGTACTGCAGTGGTCGACACAAATTACTCACATAAACGAAAGACAAAATGTCATTGTACTGTATGCCGACCACTTCTTGAGAAATGTTAAAACCATCTCCTGAATGTACACTAATTTAAAAGAAGGTTTCTTTACCTTGGCGATGCCCTGCAGATTTTGACGAGCTTCATGGAGTCCCGATGTTCCTCACAAGGCAAGCCATCATTATGCGTCTCCCTGGGCAACCCCTGCACCCCATCGACCGGCATTCATTTCCCTCCTGCGGATGTTCATTTCAATTAAACTGCATGCAGTTCATTAATTTTGCAGCGTTCATTTAGATGCGAATTTATAATTTTACAAGGAGCGCTCCTGCTCCTGACAATCTTGCTTCTGCTCCCTGTTTTTGCCCGGTTGTCCTGTGCATACGCGCTGTCAATTAATTCAAAACTCAAACGTTGCGTAGCTTGTTAATTTTTATTACGGCCATTGCACTCGCCCCCAGAATGGGATTGCATAATTTGAAGCTCGGGAGCTTGTTTTTATTTTTATGTAAAACAATTCAGTGCTTTCCGGAACCTTAGTTGGCTGCTGTTTTGTTTCCGTTGGGCTGTTCGGTTGGGCTGCCCAAGATGACCCGCTGGGCGGGAAAAACTTAAAAGCGGGACGGTGGTCGCCTTTCATTAAACACTTTGCGCCAAATTGAATTTTACGATAAGCTGAAGCGAAGGCGCTCTGATTGCAGCTGTCACTTTTAGTGTTGTGTTTGATTTTTAATGCGCAGCTGCATAATTGCGCTTGAAATATTAAACGGGCAGCAGCGGAGTGGAGTTTATCTCATTAGGAAATTTTCCAATTAAATTTGCATAGCTTCGAGGAGTTGGTCTTTCGCCAGCGAGTTGCATACTTTCGGGCGGAGCTGGAAAAGTTGAAAGTTGCACATACGCCGTGGTGGCCTTAAAGCAGCCGCTTGCCCTCCGCTCGCTTCGGTTCGGTTCGGTTCGGTTCATTGGGGTTCATGCAGCGATAGCTATTTAATTATTTCTTGTGTCGTCTACCCTTAATTGGCCATTAAGTGGCAAGCTACCAAAAGGGGCAGAAACGACAGGACAATATTGCGACTAAATTAAAGCATTACGCAGCTTCCAGAATCCTCGGACTCCGGATTCCCGGATCCCCGGATCACAGCGGTGGTTGTTCGCTTCAAATTGACTTTACATGAAATATACATATACCGATGAGGTTCGCCCTCCTCGGGCGATGGGATATCAATATGTATTGACCTGCTTTTGGCCTAGCTGCATGTGTTCTCCTTAATTGCAGCACAAAGCGAAATCGAGAACGAGGAGACGAAATGAAAACAGGGTGGCTGGCGTTTGGCTGATTGTGTGTTGGCAAGTGTTTTTCCATTTCCGCTCAGCATGGAAATTGTGGGACGGAAGTCGTTCTTAGCAGTTTTGTACTCATTTTGTTTTCACCGCATTTTCGCGAAAACACACAATGACAACATCCTGCCACAAAGTTGTCGCCATCTCAGAATTCCTTGAGATATTAACTGTTGGAATTGCTGTTGACTGCACGGAAAGAAACTGGAGAAACTAAAATTCAGTGTGATTTACAACTATAAATGGTTATGGCTGAAAGTTGATTATTTAAAAACATGTGTGGTTTAAATGTGTGGGAAGTTCGAACTGACCTGTTGTTTAAATTTCGAGCATATCAAGTCAAATATCAAATTGATCATTGTTTTATATTAAGTTTTATTTGGTTTTATAAAAATGCTACAAATTGTGTTCACAGAATTTAAAGGGTCTCTATGTCGTCATTATTTTCTTTAGAACTTCCTAAATTACTTAACCTATTATTAAAATATATTTAATTTTGAAAAGTTTTTTAAACTCGAATTCAACCACTAATATGTTTATAGATATATTCAAATTGCAGTGCAGCCACAAATCAAGTGACAGTGACAGCTTCAGCTTCAGCGGAAGTGACCAAAAACTTGCACTTTGCTCAAATGTTTAAACTAAATTGGCAATTGTCCTGCAAGAGAATAGGGGGAGAATTTCTTGTTTGGCAATGGCAATAGTCGTAATGTGGCATTTACTTGGCTGAAAATGGAGCTTTTACACTTTGCCCATTGTGGAGTGTTGACTCACTTTTCCTCTAACTTAAATCTGTCTTAATTAAGTCAGTTATGCAGTCGGGCTTGTCGCCCAGAGTCAACTTGTCAAATGGCCATTGAATGCAGCAAAAAATGCTTTTTCTTCATTCACTCCGTTTAAGCTTCCATTTTTCATTTCTCATTTTTCATTTTCCATTTTCCATTTCTTTCTTAATGCATCGGCAAACAATTGTCCAAGCCTGGAAAAGTGTCAATAAAAGGAGAGCTGGTCCTTGCACCTGTTGCTTTTCCCCATTTACCTTTTGTTCTAGCTTTAAGTGTACTTCATACTTTTTTTTTAGAAGGGTTGATAAAATTGCTTGCAAAAATTCTTGAAATATTGCAAGGGAAAAGTTTGCCGGGCTGCCCAGAATTTTTTGCCTAATTGAGGGTGTTTCATTTTGACCAGTTTTCGCATGTTTCCCAGCTTTCTCTCTATTAGCAGCAACAATGTAGTCGGTCAAGGGCCGGCCATTAATTGCTCCTTTTTGTGGCATTAATAAACCGCAGCGAATGTGCATTGTGCACTTGCTGGGCATTTGTTAGATTTTTAACAACATTAATAAAGTGCACGATGGAGTCGAAGGAACCACGCGCGGCGAGTCCTTAACACGCACATTCCTGCGTTTGCGTTTATGCTTATTAGCGTGCATGCGAGCCATTAATTCGGTGCACTGAGAGAAAGAAAGGACACGGGCACGTGGCCCAACCTTTTAGCTGCTGCCGTATAAAGAGAGGACGTGAACGGATGGATGCCTTGTGGCAAACGTCATAAAAACTTTGCGCTACTCGGCAAAATATCGAGGAGACAAGGACCTTCCCAAAAGCGCCATCTTGTTGTCCATGTTACAATGATAAAAAGTAATTTTATGACGGCCACTCACACGCCCACAAAAGAAAAGGACCGGATCCTTGGACCAGAATGCAGCTCCACCTCGAGTTGCACTCATTGGTTGTGGTCCATTGTGTCCTTGGCCCGTTTGGTGTCCCTGCTCCTGATGGCAAAGCTTTTAACCGACGGATGTAACCGGAAACTCCCCGGCAAACTCCAGATCAAGTTTGGATCAAAGCTTAAAGAGTGGGATATTTTTGGGGGAATATTTGTAACGATTTGAGGCATTCTGAAGTTTTAATTTTAATCTTTTTTTACTGATTTTTAGTATCTAGTATTTCTCACGACTTTTCGGAAATTAAAACATAAAATGTTGGGAAATTCCTGACTAAACGAATTATGGAAATGACGGTAACTATTTAAATATAATATCCAGTTAAGAGCCAAAAAGCTAGATTTAAACGTCATTCGCACCATCTGTGGCAGATAAAAGTCATCAAGAAGAATTTTGAAAAGAGAGTGTAAAATATTGCAGAGGGGTTTGGATAAATCAATTTTGGATGACTGCTAAATGACAAACAAATTGTTGGGTGGAAGAACTTAAGTTACTCCATTTATGACTGCTCTCCACATTTATTCCTCCTTTAGTCCTCCTTTATTTATAACCTCTTTTTTAACGATTTTTAATTTGCATAAAATAATTTGCTGATCAACACCAGCGAGCGTTTTTCTCATAATAATTTATTCGCCAGGCGGAGTAAATCACACGCACCAGGCTGAAAGAGATGGCAGCTACAGAGCGTGAAAGAGAGGGGTAGAGGGGGCATTTAATGCCGCAAACAGAACATGGCAATAGTTTTATGCTGCTTCAGCTTCTGTTGCTGTTGCTGTTTATTTTGCAGCAGTCATTCGCAGAGTTGCCTTTACTGCACTTTGTCCTTTCATCCTTCTCGTCCTCCTCCTCGTCCTTTTCCCCAAACCCCTAGACTCTCCTGACATTCCTCAGTCTGTCCGCTGTGCATTTTTTCGGGGGGCGGCCAGGGCTAATGGGCGTCCATTGGCCATAGTTTTCTGACTTTTCGTATGCTGTCAAGTGCTCGGCACTCGAAATTATTATCTGCCATTAATCATGGCCATAATGTTTGCCAGCTATAAAACGGAGCAAGTGCAGCCAGAACAGCGCTGCAACACCGAACCGGACTGTACCCAGTAACTGCTGGCAGTAAGCAACTGACAGAGGGCAGCTTTAAGGAAGCTTCATAATGGAGTATTCTTTATAAATGGGTTTATATATCGGAAAGGCCATTCACAATGTAAGCTGCAGATAACGAATTTAAAACAATGCGGTTATCAATTTTATTTTCATCAATATATTGCCATATAAGAACAACCGTTTAAATTGATAAAAAACATTTTTTGAAATAAAAGAATTTTTAAATGAATTTTTTTATAAAAATGCTTATTACTAAGAAAATGAGATTTTATCAACTATAGTATTCTGATCTAGTACTTTTTGATCTGCCCTCCAGCGGGTCAGTTATAATTTCGTGCATTGCTTTATTACTGTGACAATTATTTTAACTGCTGGAGATTTTTATTATGATATTTTTTCATAGAATTCAGTATCTGTGCGCTTTTTTAAGTCATTTGCCACTTGTTTGGCGATTTTTATGGCCCGAAGGAGTGAATAAAACCGAAAACACAGGGCGCCCGAGAA